ATTATTCTTGTATGAGGTATTATTGGTTGGGTTACCCCTGTGCTGTGACGTGTGTTTTATATAGTGTGTCTTATGCTCTCTCTCCACTGGCTATCTGGCCAACAGGCTACACTCTAGGCAGTCTCTTCTGCAGATGTGTGTGTGCGTCTGGTAGCGGGTCTCTATCTATCCTACTCTTTTCCTTTCGGCAGGGTTAATACCTGCCTGGCGCCCGAACAAAAATCGTTATCTTTACCCTCTCTAACAATACAGCTACAAATACCGCTACAAACTCAAGGGCTTGATGATTAGTTGAATCAGGTGTGCTTGTCTGGGGCTACAATAAAAATGTGTACTGTTGGGGATACTCAAGGATTGGAGTTTGGAAACACTTTGCTAGGGCAACAAGCGGATAAGACAGTGACTATGATATTTCAACTCCGCCCTTTCCTCTATGCCAAACTGACATTCTTTACGTACAGACGTGCACTGTAAGTCGGAACATTGGTACATTGTGGGAGGCAACCCATCTGTCTAGAGACTACCATCCGGTTATGTATTATTGATTGATGACTGTTGGTATTGGCTAACAAACTAAGTGCCAAAGATTTTTATCTTGTAACTTAAAGAGAAACTTGTAATAAAATTATATATTTTTGATCAAGTGTTGTCTAGTCCATTGTAATGCTCAGAACTCATGATTCAACTCAATAGGTGGCCTGTCATGAACCTGTGTCTTCCTATGATTGAGGTGTTCCCCCTAAGTAAACAGGAACTGCCGTGGTTTAGTAGTTGTGCCATTTTAGGTTACCCTATAGGCGGCAGGTATAACATAGTCATATGGCCAATAATGTATCCTGTAAATATAATTATAATACAGAAATGTACTTGCTCTTCGGTGAAGTTCTGTCAATATTATGTTGGAAACCATATTCATGGGAACTTAGTTGCACACTACTTAGAAAAATGGTAACCTATTTGTTGAACACCAGTGCTTTTTTAGGAAAAGAATGACTCCGTAACCTTTAGGACAATGTCTCCATCACAGGTCCACGAGTGTATTACCTGGAATGCACATCAAGCCTAGACGATAGTGTGCTATATCTGCGTTATCCGCTGCCTGGGCTATACTAGAGGGCCAGAGCAAGCAGGTGGGCTTCCTCCATCTTTGGGGATACACTGAGGGTGGAGTTTGAGTCCCCGGCTGGCCCAGGGTGAAGCCAAAGGTGGATGAATGAAAATAGTTCACTCAGGCCGTTTACCATTGTCTACTTAAGGGGGTGGCTCTCCCATAGACACCCAATACGATAACAGCTGGCTTTGCTCTACTTAGTTCATTGACTTCCATTGAAAGAGATCAAATGAGGGAGTGGGATGTCTCGCTTCAGTCTCTGGTGAAGCTCTTGATTCACCTGGCTAGACCAAGAGGTTATGCGGAGGGGTCCAGCTGAGACCACGTGGCACCTAGGGTGGAGACGGAAGATGAATGAGAGGGGGGTATCTGTGAGTAGAGTGCTGTCAATATAAGGTCAAGTCAAATGTGAGTGTGTGTGTGTGTGTTTCTTTCTGCCTGCCTGCCTGTCAGTCAGTTGCTATTCAAAGCATAGTCTACCTCGGTCAGTAGAGCGTTGCATGGCGATGATGTTGGCTCCTACTTCGGCTGGCGGACTTCTTCCTGGCCTCAGCAATGGTCAGCAGACTGCACAGAGGGGTGAAGGACAGTAGGGGGATCTGATTGGTGCTCACCTCTCCTGCAATGGAAGTGTTGAATGTTGAATAAAGCATCTCTCATGGTGACTGGATGTCAAATAAATCCTAGCCAATAGTTGGGAAGAGCTGCGGTTACTAGGCTAGTCCCAGATCTGTATGTCCACTCACCCACATCTACTAATCATAGACCAGGGGGTCAATCTGAAGTTACAGAAAGTATGAGTGAGAAAGAGAATTTGTTATCAGAGGAGGAGTGCTGATCTAGGATCAGGTCCACTCTGTCCATATAATAGTAGCATTCATTATGATATTTTCCAAATTCTTAGTCTGGATTGTTCTCTTGGGTCAAAGTGGACCCTGTACATTAATGAAATATGATTAGTGTAAATCCATATGTACATGTACTAGCTGGCTAGCACTGTCGTAGTACCTAATATAAGATACTTGTATCAGCTGTTATTTACTGAACAAAAATATATCTGACTGGGAATACAGATATGCACCTGTTGGTCACAGATACCATTTAAAAAAAAAATGGGCCTCACAATGGGCCTCAGGATCTCGTCACAGTATTTCTGTGCATTCAAATTGCCATCGATAAAATGCAATCGTGTTCTATGTCCGTAGCTTATGCCTGCTCATACCATAACCCCACCACCATGGGGCACTCTGTTCACAACGTTGACATCAGCAAACCGTTTGCCCACACGATGCCATACACGTGGTCTGCGGTTGTGAGGCCGGTTGGAAGTACTGTCACAAGCCTGTCTCAGCCTACCCCCTAACAGTTCCTCACATTAATCACAGCTTGTTATGTTAAACAATCTATATCAGTACAGCACAAACCTATTATGTTTAATCATAAATGAATTCTTTCTAAGCTAGGCATCACATCTAGTTGTAAGAAAATAGATCCCCACATTACCTAAAATGTTCCTCGCTTTGTCTTCTTGGTTGTTCAGGTAAGCCATGTAAGTAAATAAATGACAATACCATATACAGTATTGCTCAATGAAACTAGTATGTCCCAATGCTTCAAACCGAGGAGAAAATAAAAGTTGATCAACTCAAGGAAACCGGCCAAAATGTCAACCTGTGCATTAGAGGAAGCCGAGTAGCCTATGCTAACGTTTCAGCATAATAAAAGCATAGGCTATTTCTTATAATGTGCAACCGGATTACTTTGTAATAATGACATCTTTCTCATTATAACGTGAACCTTTCTCGTAATACCGAGATAATGGATTATTTTGTTATAACGTGATCTTAACTCGTAATATTTCTCCTGAGTGGCAGTAATATGCCACCATACGAAAACAATGCGCGCGCTTCAAAGGGGCCGAAGGTCTCGTGTTGTTCTAGATGGCCAGGTAGCTTGCAACAATGACAAGAAACTGCCATGTGGTGAATAGTAAGTGACTAATTTCAGCTCCTTTGATCTTGATAAAATGTATTGTTTTGACTGATGTCACATCTATGCTAATATGACAAACATTTGCTAGCTGGCTAACCAACAACTATAACAATGTATTTGAGAGACAAGTGCTCATTTTGCAACTTTAATTATGTTTTCAATAAACATTGGAGACTAAATACAGTTTACATGTTAAACAATCTAAGCCAACCCAGTCTGTTTTGCCCCATAGTTGCGCACCCGTTGGTTTTGTTGCTAAACAACCCCTCTAACAAAAGATTGCCATGCAAACACTCCTGAATCATGCTTTTGATACATGTAACGAAAACCACTCAGCCTCTGTTTTACTGCTTAAATCTAGTCAACAATGACACCAAAGAAATAATAATTAATATTGTAACCTACTGTGTGCTCGAGCAACGTTTCTTTAGGTGATGAGTCTTTTCCACACCTAGACTGTAAAATGCTCTGCTATTGACAGGGCATTCAACCAACTCATCTGCTCCTTTGTTGTGAGGAAAGCCATTCACTAGGAAGACACCCTTTGTCAACTGCACCGTAGTGGTGTGTCCAATTCATACCGGCTTGTTTCAGGTTAGCAAAACTGTAAAATGCAAGGTCAGTGTAGTTGGAGCTGAGTTGATGCAGTCAGTTGGTGCCTGTGGGTCTTGGCCCTTTTACAGTGTTCGTTTAGAGCTGGTCAAAGCCTCAGGCCTCCCTACTTTAAACTGGGAACCACCCCTACACTGCAACTATTTTTTTGGGTGTATTCTCTGTCAATTTACCAGGTGAAATAAACATTTGGTAATGGTAACAAGACAAGCAGTAACAAGACAATAAATCTCTTTATTTCTGCAGACGCCTTAATTAAATCAATTTGTTTTCCGTCAGGGAATGTAGGTTTGCTATCAAATGGCACCCTATTCCCTACATATTGCCCCACAGGAGGTTGGTGGCACCTTAATTGGGGAGAACGGGCTCGTGGTAATGACTGGAGCAGAGTCTGTGGAATGGTATCAAATACACCAAACACATGGTTTCCAGGTGTTTGATGCCATTCCATTTGCTACGTGCCGGCCATTATTATGAGCCGTTCTCCCCTCAGCAGCCTCCACTGTAGTGCACTACTTTTGACCAGAGCCCTATGGTCCCTGGTCAAAAGTAGTGTACTACATAGGGAATAGGGTTCCATTTGGCACGCATTAGGCTTTTCCACCTACAATAACATAATATTAGCAATGTTGGCCATTTGCACATAATCCCAACAGTCAAAGTACAAAACCTTTCAGTAGAGAATCGATTAATCTGGTGTGGTCTTCTCTATGGCCCCAGAAGGAAAAAAATGCCACAAACCAAATATGTTGTTGTTCAAAGTCACACAGATACCACATACGATAGTGTCAGGATCAACACACAGAGAAACAGAGGGAGAGAGCTCAGTATCTGCCTCTTACTCTCGGTCACAGTTCTTTGTAGTCAACTTCACAGGATGTTAGAGAGACATTTATATTGCTCATAACGATTGGACATGACGTGTAGGTAGGCTATCTGAGGGTGAAATGTCATGGGAACAGGTTATCAGAATAATATAGAGATAATGTAATACAAAAACAAAATGGCCTCCTGTCCTGACAAACAGAACGTCTCACATCAGTCTTTTTACAATTCTGTCCAGTTTATTTTCTTGTTTCTCTTCATAAAGAGTATTTTATTTGTGTTTGTACAATGGACCAGGCCACAGTGACGGGGGCCCAAGGATCAAAAGAGTCCTCCAGAGACCGAGAAAGAGAGGTAACTCAAGAAGAGGGCGGGGGTGGATAGTCACCTTTCTGCTCTAGATGAAGGCATGACCAAATCCACACACACCTTCCACTCTTTCTCTCTCCCCCTCGGTCTCTCAGGAGTCTGAGTCAGATCCGTTACTGCTCTCCCGGCTGATCTCAATCTGTAGCGAGGGCAGGTTGTCAAGCCGACTCTTCTTCATCGTGTGGGTCTGCTGTTCCTTCTGTTTGATCAAGGCCCCCCACACCTTCTGCAGTGCAGAGTCGTCCTCCTCCTCATTTTCCTCTTCTCCTTCCCGCCCCCGTCCCCCCAACCTGGAGCTGGCTGATCCCGATCCCGCACGGCGACTGGAAGGCTTCCGCTCGGGAACGTCACCCTTATGGGAGGAGGGGCCGAGCCTGCTCCACAGACGACCTGGGGGGAGGGAGCGAGAAGGGGGGGGATCAATATTAAAGCACTTTGTGTCTCTTTTCAACAAACTTACAGCATTATTGACTAATAGCAGTAGATGGAGATCTGTTTTTCTTCCTTACTCGATTTCCCGTCTTTGGACGAATCAGAGTAGAGGCCGTGGGCGTCTTGTTTGGCCACGCCCAGTCGGCTGTGCACGTCTGTGATTTGCTCTCGGGGAGGGGGTGAGTCTCGGGAGGCGACAGGGGAGGCGGAGTGTCGTCTCTCAGGAGAGTACGGTCTCTTCCCTAACCTCTGCCTCACATCTACACACAACACAAGGTTAAGTACACTACACACACACAAACCAGAAAAAATATTATACCACGTCATTGAGATTACCCTGGTTCCCAGGATATTGCGCACATAAGTCTGGGACATCAACGATTCAAAGTTGGCCTAAGTGGGAGTGACCACAGAATTCTTTAGACGTGTGGGTTGTATAGCAACCGTGGAGCAAAACAGGGAGGGTTGGCTTAGAATCAAAGGATTGTTGGCAACATGGAAACTATAGTTCTCCAAATCCTTATTGAAAACAAATACATTTGCACAATGAACATTTGTTGTCCCTCAAATACATTGTTACTAGGAATGTGCATCTTTCCCTTTCAAGATGATTCGATGCGTATCTAGACACATGGGCGCCGATACGATACAGGAACGATACGTGTTCGTTTGATTAGAGGGATGAATCGATGCGATTCGGTGCACTAACATTTGTTGCATAAACACATTCATTTTCCATCTGTTGCTGATGGAGCTCATGAGCTGGGTCTCTGAGCTGGATCTGTCTGAGCTGACTTTGGTGTGTGTGTAAATTAAGTACAGTATATGTCTATGGTGTATGTAGGCACCGGAGCTAAGCCATAAGGGAAACTGGGCATCTACCACCCACTACCCCCCCCCCCCCCCCCCCCTTGATCTGAAATCCCCCACTAACTGTCATTTTTGCAGATTAAAAGTGTTATAGCTAGTCATGTATCAATATTTATCTTTAACAATTAGCTATGACATAGCCAATTAATATATAGCACAATTTTAGATTTCACCCGTCTCATAATCGAATGGTTTAGACTTTTGACAGACTGAGTGAGCTTCTGATTTCCTCGTTATGAAATTATCAACTTTATATATACACCGATTGTTCCAGGCAAAACGACCAAAACTATTGATGATGATGAACCTGAACAATCAAAATAAAATGTAATGTAATCCTCGATCAGCATGTAGCCTACCTATAGCCAGATGAGTTGTCTCCGTTGGTAGCTTAGGCTACTTTTATTCCAGTAAAACACCATTTTCAGCGCATTTGATTTAAAATAACCTAGCAAATTACATTGGTTGTCGCTCAACTAATAAAGCCTAATATTGCGCAAGCCATTTTACAAACACATGAACGCTTAAAGTGACACGCAGATGCACCAGATCAGGAATAGGCCTACCTCTCAGTAAGGTTTGTTCGGCATTCAAAATGACTTGTAGATTAATGACTGTCAACATAATTACATGCAGTTCGACATTGAAAGATTAGGTATTTTCGGAAGGTAGAAAGAAAGTAATTTGAGAAAATGTTTAGTGAACCGGCAATTAGTAAGGTTTGAATCGATTTTCTGACCAATGCATTCTACATTTGGATCGTTTTGGGGTCCCGCAGACCAGTGCACTCATATCTTAAACGTTTCAATCGGGGGATCGATGTGTACCATTGAATCATTACATCCATATTAGCATAGATGTGACAAGAGTCAAAACACCTCCGAAACAAGACATTGTATCAATAACAAGATACAACCAGCTGAAACGAGCCACCTACGACTCCACAACATGGCAGCTTCTTGTCATTGTTGCTAGCCATCTGACCATCCAGAATCACAACACACGGAATACTACTCCATCATTTTCGTAACACTGTCAGTCTATGGGAGTGACCTTACTGAGTAAAGTATGTCATAATTACATTTGTTGAGAATCACAAGACTGCGAGGCGTGGAGGGTTAAGGCGTCAACATGCTTCAGTTTGGCTGGTGCCTAGCCGAACTCTGTGTGTGTTCGCATACTCCCTTTAAAAGACCTTCGCTTGCAAATAAAAAAAAAAGCATCAATAGTACTGTCAGAATTTATCTCAAGGAATCTGTCATTAATTGATACGTTTTGCCAAGGAGATCTTAGTCGCACTAACTAAGATGTTTGGTGCTATATTTCTCAATTAACAAATGTGCATGAAAACGAGTCGTCTCTCGTTGATTGACAAGAAAGACTTTACTTAAGAATCACAGACGAAGGGGCGTAGACTTCATCTTGCCTCCAGAAAAAAAAAATTGTGTGCCCGAATCGCCCAAAAAACCCTTACCGAAGCCCAAATGAACAAAATGTTGTCATAATATATGCATGAACTCTTCCGAACTGTTTCGGCTGGGAAGCATGCGGACGCCTTTAGGGGGAAGGCGTTGTGGGAGATGATTGGTTGGTAGATCAAGCCCATTAAGCCCAATGCCAATGCATGGAGAGTTTCTGTATTGGCTAACAAAGGCCAAGTTGAATGTGTTGGTCCAGCAGACTCGGAAATGTCTTGGAACTAGATTACATTGATATTGACCGTGTAGAGTGGTGGATAACTGACCCGTTTTTCCACTACTGGCCACAGGGGCGCGCTGTCTGTGCTGGGTTTGGCTCTGTCTTTTCTCCTCCAATAGCTGCCTCACATCCATCACTTTCTCCACTGCACTGCTTTTGGTCCCTCCCACCGATCCTCCACTTCCTCCTCCTCCACCACCGATCCTGTTCCGGACGCCACTACCCCCCGAGCCGCTGTCACTGCGAACAGAAGAGTGTCTGAAGAACAGACACGGAGAACATCAACTATTAATTTACTACGTTTACCTATGTCAAAAGGTCCACATTCTGCACACATACACACAAAGACAAACCCACACTGTAGGCCCCTGAGGTTGGTCATCATGGTCATGTCACCCACCTCCACACACACTTTCGTCCACCACACACACCCACTGACCGTATAGTCTTGAGGTTGGTCTCGACCTCGTCTGCGTACATGGTCATCTTCATGCTCTTCTTGGGGGAGGGGGTTGAGATCATCTTGAGCTCCAGGTCATAGTCCATTTCGTCTGAGTCTGACGAGACAGAGGGGGAAGACGAGGGCCTGCCCAAACGACTCCGCAGGGCCACCCCTGGACCTCCCGCACCCCGCCCTCCCTCCCTTTCCCTCCCTCTCTCCCCCTTCTCCTTGTACTCCACCACCCTGTCGTCTGAGTCCATGTCCTCCTCTTCCTCATCCTCCTCTTCTTCCTCTATTGGTTCTTCTGGCAGGTTGACTAGGTCAGCTGGAGAGAGATGGGGGAGAAAGGAGAGGAAGAGGATAGAGGAGCGAGACAGGGAGGAAGTCACAGATTACCACAGGGGATCTGTAAATGAATGTTAGCGCATGGCAGTTGCAAATGTTTGTGTGGGTGTTCCCACCTAAGTGTCTGTAGGGTAGTGTGTGTTCTTACCAGAATGTCTGTGTGTATAGGGTGATGTGTGTCCCATGCTGTCCCCTATGAGGGGTTTCTTGCTCTTGCTCACGATTCTGCGCGTGTGATACCGTCTCTTCCTGCAGAAGGTGACAGAGACATTAGCATCAACATACCCACCCATATACTTCAACCCTTCAGTCTAAAATCAGTCCCTGATTCGAGGGGAAGAATACATTTTTAAAAACAGTGGAACTGGCTTCGCGGTCCAGATCTTAATTTGAGCGTTCGACTAACCAGCATGTCTTTTTTCCTGATAGAAAGGGGTCAAAGGGGAAAATAAACTGAAAAAATAAAATCAGGGGAAAACCGATGAGAAGTAGAGAAAAGGACAGAGGGGAATAAAAAGGGAGAGAAAAGTGAAAAAGAGAGGGGGAAGAATGACATCTGTGTTCAAGTAGCGGACGACAAACATAGTACTACTATTGTTGTTGTTTTCTGATAACAGGAAGGTGCAGACATAGAAAAAGTGAAAGAAAGTGTAAGGGAAAAGTGAGTGAAAGAGACCAAAGGAGCAGCATATCAGTTCCAGTCAGCCATGGTGGTGATGAGGATCTGGCTGTACCATGATGGTTTGGCACAAATAAATGAAAGTAAAACATTTAAGGAACTCAGTCCAGCTTTCAAAATACTCTTGAACGTTGTAATAGTGGAATGCACAAGGTGCAATTTCAAAATTGGGTAGTGCATCAATTTTCCTCATCATGTCAGTTATTGCATACCTTAAGAGATCTATTTATAACTTGTCAGAAATGTCCAGATCAACTAGCCCATGTCAGCTAATGGTTTTTCGCTAGGTTTTTTAGCCCATAGATTTTGTTGGAATGGTTGTCACTCAAATATCACATGAATACACATTAGATGTGGCAAAATGTATCAAATAGCAGGAACATTTGCTTTACAACTGCAACATTTTCTCTGAAACCCATGACAAAATGTGTAGAATTGCAGGAAATTAGCTTTAAACCTACAACATTTTCTCTCCGCCAACAAGAGGGGTGTGAAGTGTGTTTCATGAACAGTGCTTGTGCCCATAGAAAGACTGGGCGCAAGATATTCGCCAATGCTGGAAGGGGGGCCTGAGTGAAAAAAGTTTGGGAACCCCTGGTTTAGCGCACTGTCCCCCTGAATCGCCATGGAGACGCACCACAGGGTGCCTAGCCAGCATGTATGAATGAATAAATGAGTGTTGGCGCAAGGAAGCATCCGCGCGTGTGGTTACCAGGAGTTGCTGAGGATGCCCCTCATGCCTCCGTAGTTGGGGTTGCCGTACTTCATGTAATATCTGCTCTTCCTCGCAGCACCCAGCTCCTTCTTATCACCTGAACACACAGAAAGAAACTGTCACAATCCTAATACAGTGCCTTCAGAAAGTATTCACAGCCCTTGACTTATTCCACATTTTGTTGTGTTACAGCCTGAATTCAAAAATGGATTAAATATTATTTCACCAGCCACATTGGCGGGTGGGGGTCACACAGAGCATTTGAGAATTAACCCATTTTCTCACCTAATGACTCAAATATTTGGGGGTACATTGTGTTTGATTTAGCATGGAACACTTCAAAAAAAACTTATTAATTTTTTTTTTATATTAAAAACACTCATTTTCATTGTGCTCCTAAATTTGTGCCACAATAATTTCAACTTAGAGTGCATTCGGAAAGTATTCAGACCCCTTCACTTTTTCCACATTTTGTTAAGTTACAGCCTTATTCTAAAATGGATTAAAATTGGTTTTTCCCTCCCTCAATCTACACACACACACACACACACACCCATAATGACAAAACAAAAACCGGAAATATAATATTTACATTAAGTATTCAGACCCTTTACGCAGTACTTTGTTGAAGCACCTTTGGCAGCAATTACAGCCTCAAGTCTTCTTGGGTATGACGCTACAAGCTTGGCACACCTGTATTTGGGGAGTTTCTCCCATTCTTCTCTGCAGATCCTCTCAAGCTCTGTCCGGTTGGATGGGGAGTGTCGCTGCACAGCTATTTTCAGGTCTCTCCAGAGATGTTAGATCGGGTTCAAGTCCGGGCTCTGGCTGGTCCACTCAAGGACATTCAGAGACTTGTCCCGAAGCCACTCCTGCGTTGTCTTGGCTGTGTGCTTAGGGTCGTTGTCCTGTTGGAAGGTGAACCTTCACCCCAGTCTGAGGTCCTGAGCGCTCTGGAGCAGGTTTTCATCAAGGATCTCTCTGTACTTTGCTTCCTTCATCTTTCCCTCTATCCTAACAAGTCTCCCTTTCCCTGCCGCTGAAATACCTTCCCACAGCATGATACTGCTACCACCACGCTTCACCGTAAGGATGGTATTGGCCAGGTGATGAACGGTGCCTGGTTTCCTCCAGATGTGACGCTTGGCATTCAGGCCAAAGAGTTCAATCTTGGTTTCATCACACCAGAGAATCTTGTTTCTCATGGTCTGAGAGTCCTTTGGGTGCCTTTTGGCAAACTCGAGTGGGCTGTCATGTGCCTTTTACTGAGGAGTGGCTTCCGTCTGGCCACTCTACCATAAAAGGCCTGATTGGTGGAGTGCTGCAGATATGGTTGTGTTTCTGGAAGGTTCTCCCATCTCCACAGAGGAATTATGGATCTCTGTCAGAGTGACCATTGGGTTATTGGTCACCTCCCTGACCAAGGCCCTTCTCCCCCGATTGCTCAGTTTGGCCGGGCGGTCAGCACTAGGAAGAGTCTTGGTGGTTCCAAACTTCCATTTAAGAATTATGGAGGCCACTGTGTTCTTGGGGACCTTCAATGCTGCAGAAATGTTTTGGTAACCTTCCCCAGATCTGTGCCTTGACACAATCCTGTCTCGGAGCTCTACGGACAATTCCTTCGATCTCATGGCTTGGTTTCTGCTCTGACACACACTGTCAACTTTAAGACCTTCTATAGGACAGGTGTGTGCCTTTCGAAATCATGTCCAATCAATTGAATTTACCACAAGTGGACTCCAATCAAGTTGTAGAAACATCAAGGATGATCAATGGAAAACAGGATGCACCTGAGCTCAATTTCGAGTCTCGTAGCAAAGGGTCTGAATACTTATGTAAATAAGGTATTTCTGTTGTAAATTTTCAAAAAACCTGTTTTCGCTTTGTCATTATGGGGTATTGTGTGTAGATTGATGAGGAAATAGTTTTATTTAATCAATTTTAGAATAAGGCTGTAATGTAACAATGTGGAAAAGGTCAAGGGGTCTGAATACTTTCCGAAGGCACTGTATATAAAAAATAAAAGATAACTAATGTAAAACATACTGTGTCCGTAAAATGTATATATAAGCTGGAAGTAGAAGCCTAAGTGTTGTTGTCCATTAGTTTACTCCAATTAGTGGAGGGGTGGCAGGGTTAGGGGAAATATTTTTTTAAACCAAAAAATAATATATAGTACCAGTCAAAAGTTTGGACACACCTACTCATTCAAGGGTTTCTCTTTATTTTTTACAATTTTCTACATTGTAGAATAATAGTGAAGACATCAAAACTATGAAATGACACATATGGAATCATGTAGTAACCAAAAAAAGTGTTAAACAAATCAAAATATGTTATATTTGAGATTCTTCAAAGTAGCCACCCTTTGCCTTGATGACAGCTTTGCACACTCTTGGCATTCACTCAACCAGGTTCATGAAAAATGCTTTTCCAACAGTCTTGAAAGAGTTCCCACATATGCTTAGCACTTGTTGGCTGCTTTTCCAACTCATCCCAAACTATCTCAATTGGGTTGAGGTAAGGTGATTGTGGAGGCCAGGTCATCTGATGCAGCACTCCATCACTCTCCTTCTTGGTCAAATACAGTGAGGGAAAAAAGTATTTGATCCCCTGCTGATTTTGTAAGTTTACCCACTGACAAATAAATGATCAGTCTATAATTTTAATGGTAGGTTTATTTGAACAGTGAGAGACAGAATAACAACAAAAAAATCCAGAAAAACAATTGATTTGCATTTTAAATGAGGGATATAAGTATTTGACCCCTCTGAAAAACACGACTTAGTACTTGGTGGCAAAACCCTTGTTGGCAATCACAGAGGTTAGACGTTTCTTGTAGTTGGCCACCAGGTTTGCACACATCTCAGGAGGGATTTTGTTCCACTCCTCTTTGCAGATCTTCTCCAAGTCATTAAGGTTTCGAGGCTGACGTTTGGCAACTCGAACCTTCAGCTCCCTCCACAGATTTTCTATGGGATTAAGGTTTGGAGACTGGCTAGGCCACTCCAGGACCTTAATGTACTTCTTCTTGAGCCACTCCTTTGTTGCCTTGTCCGTGGGGTTTGGGTCATTGTCATGCTGGAATACCCATCCACGACCCATTTTCAATGCCCTGGCTGAGGGAAGGAGGTTCTCACCCAAGATTTGACGGTACATGGCCCCGTCCATCGTCCCTTTGATGCGGTGAAGTTGTCCTGTCCCCTTAGCAGAAAGACACCCACAAGCATAATGTTTCCACCTCCATGTTTGACGGTGGGGATGGTGTTCTTGGGGTCATAGGCATCATTCCCCCTCGTCCAAACATGGCGAGTTGAGTTGATGCCAAAGAGCTCGATTTTGGTCTCATCTGACCACAACACTTCCACCCAGTTCTCCTCTGAATCATTCAGATGTTGATTGGCAAACTTCAGACGGCCCTGTATATGTGCTTTCTTGAGCAGGGGGACCTTGCGGGCGCTGCAGGATTTTAGTCCTTCACGGCGTAGTGTGTTACCAATTGTTTTCTTGGTGACTATGGTCCCAGAAGCCTTGAGATCATTGACAAGATCCTCCCGTGTAGTTCTGGGCTGATTCCTCACCGTTCTCATGATCATTGCAACTCCACAAGGTGAGATCTTGCATGGAGCCCCAGGCCGAGGGAGATTGACAGGTCTTTTGTGTTTCTTCCATTTGCGAATAATCGCACCAACTGTTGTCACCTTCTCACTAAGCTGCTTGGCGATGGTCTTAGAGCCCATTCCAGCCTTGTGTCGGTCTACAATCTTGTCCCTGACATCCTTGGAGAGCTCTTTGGTCTTGGCCATGGTGGAGAGTTTGGAATCTGATTGATTGATTGCTTCTGTGGACAGGTGTCTTTTATACAGGTAACAAACTGAGATTAGGAGCACTCCCTTTAAGAGTGTGCTCCTAATCTCAGCTCGTTACCTGTTTAAAAGAAACCTGGGAGCCAGAAATCTTTCTGATTGAGAGAGGGTCAAATACTTATTTCCCTCATTAAAATGCAAATCAATTGATAACATTTTTGACATGCATTTTTCTGGATTTTGTTGTTGTTATTCTGTCTCTCACTGTTCAAATAAACCTACCATTACAATTATAGACTGATCATTTATTTGTCAGTGGGCAAACGTACAAAATCAGCAGGGGATCAAATACTTTTTTCCCTCACTGTAGCCCTTTCACAGCCTGGAGGTGTGTTTTGGGTCATTGTCCTGTTGAAAAACAAATGATAGTCCCACTAAGCCCAAACCAGATGAGCTGGCGTATCGCTGCAGAATGCTGTGGTAGCCATGCTGGTTAAGTGTGCCTTGAATATGAAATAAATCACTGACAGTGTCACCAGCAAAGCACCCCCCACCATCACACCTCCATGCTTCACGGGGGGGGAACCACACATGCGGAGATCATCCGTTCACCTACTCTCACGAAGACACGGCGGTTGGAACCAAAAATCTCATTTGGACTTTCCACCGGTCTAATGTCCATTGCTCGTGTTTCTTGGCCCAAGCAAGTCTCATCTTATATGTGTCCTTTAGTAGTGGTTTCCCGAGTGGTGCAGTGGTCTAAGGCACTAGAGATCCTGGTTCAAGTCCAGGCTCTGTCGCAGCCGGCCGTGACCAGGAGACCCATGGGTGGCGCACAATTGGTCCAGCGTCGTCCAAGGTAGGGGAGGGTTTGGCCGGCAGGGATGTGGGTTCGTTTCCCACGGGGGGTCAGTATGAATAAAAAAACAAAAAAACATGTATGCATTCACTAACTGTAAGTCGCTCTGGATAAGAGCGTCTGCTAAATGACAAAACTGTAAATGTAATGTTTCTTTGCAGCAATTCGACCAGGAAGGCCTGATTCACAGTCTCCTCTGAAAAGTTGATGTTGAGATGGGTCTGTTACTTGAACTCGGTGAAGCATTTATTTGGGCTGCAATCTGAGGTGCAGTTATCCTCTGCAGCAGAGGTAAGTCTGGGGCTTCCTTTCCTGTGGCGGTCCTCATGAGAGCTAGTTTCATCATAGCGCTTGATGGTTTTTGCGACTGCACTTCAAGAAACATTCA